TCTAAGACTTAATTGACAAGACAACTGGGCTTGGACATTGTATCTCACAGGCTGCCTTTTTTTTTAATCTAATAATTGAAAATAAATTTCTAATATATGTTTGCTCTTTATCCTTTCATTCTTGCATTAACTCTAAATTAATGTTTATTACATGTCAAAAAGCATGCTAGCTACTTGGAATATCAGGCAAATAAGGTATAGAATCCATCTTGAAGGCGCTCACAGCCTTATAGTATGAAAGAGAAGTCATTACAATAGACTGTTTGGTTTGTGATAATGGGTACTGTTTGGTTTGTGATAATGGGTACCAAGAAAGAATCGGGAAGAGGGCAGAAAGCTTGATGGGGCAGGATTACTGTGCAGAGACTGAGGGTGAGTGTGCTCCCAGAGGCTAGCTGGGGAAGCTCCACAAAGGCACTGCTGCGGAGTACAGGTCACCTGGGGAACTGAGTGTTCCGCTAGCCTGGAATCAGACACCTCGTGCAGGTGGGGATTAGAGTGAGCAGGCCAGACGAGAAGGCTGCAGCCTCATGAATGGATTGCTCCTTTCCTTTTAGATGTTGTACAGAACACACAGAAAAATCAGTGCTTGGAGAGTGTGATGATATGCAAGGACTTGGAATTTATGCTATATCCAAAAAGAGCCCAGGAAGATGGTAATAAAGTCATTCTGGCTGTGGGAGAAGGGTGTGAGGCCAGAAGGAGTGAGGCTGTTAGGAGATTATTTAATGGGCCATGTCCAAAGCAATAGCATGGGAAGAGAGGGGAAAGCATCCAAAGACTAATCATGCTGATCATGCACTCCTGATCACACCATCCTCCTGGCTATTCAGGCTGTAGTAGACAGAGAAAAGAGGCATATCCCTGAATCAGGTGGAAATATAAGCAAAGAACAATCTATAAACTGTGACTGTCCTTTCTGAAAATAATAACAGGAACATGCATACATTTAACTTACAACTTAGATGACTGCAAGGCAAACCTTTGTTGAAATATACGCTTGGGCCAAGGCTGTGGTACAACAGGTTAAAGCCCCGACATGCAGTGCTGGCATCCCATATGGGCGCCAGTTCAGGTTCCAGCTGCTCCTCTTCCGATCCAGCTCTCTGCTATGCCTGGGAAAGCAGTAGAAGATGGCCCAAGTCCTTAGGCCCATGCACCTGCGTGGGAGACCCAGAAGAAGCTCCTGGCTCCTGAATTCAGATCAGCTCAGCTCTGGCCATTGCGGTCATTTGGGGAGTGAACCAACGGAATGGAAGACCTCTCTCTCTCTCTCTCTGACTCTACCTCTCTCTCTATAACTCTCTCTTTCATAAAAAAAAGAAAAAGAAAAAAAATATGCTAAAAGTCCTCATGTATAATTTGGCCACTTTTGTTCTGTGTAATGCAAGATATATCTTTGAGTAGCTGATAGCATCAGATACTTCCTAACTGTCTAATTCACTCAACATTCTTGAAAGAGAGTAGATGTTAAGTCTGCCTGTATTTGTCTTAGTATTTGGGTTTCTAGGACTCTGTGTACTTTGACATAGTAACAAATTGTTGTTTTTTAGCCTTGTCTTCAAAACTGTGACTAGCCAGATTTGAATCTCATAGCTCTTTTCTTAATTGTGTCCTCTACAACGTTGTAATGTGAAAAAAGCAACCCATTTGGCTCTCTCCTACTCTTTCTAAACCCCTATCAGACCAAGCGATCAGACCAGATGGTGGAACTAGACAACAAAGGCTTCCATCGGCATCTCATCTTGCATTGGTCAATATCTTGTGGTATTAATTGAGCAGCCATTATGATGCAAACTGTATCAAGCACTGAAAAAGCCATTTTTGTGATTTAGGAGGTTGATTCCCTTGGGAAGGAGCCATGACTAACACAGATCATGAGCGAATCCCACGGAAAGTACACATCAGTATTCAGGGCTCCTGGTTCTGAGGCAGCAATAAAACTGCCTAGTAACAGAGGGTTATAGGCTCCTGGAAGAACTCTCTCTTTGCAATTTCATTGTTTCATTGTTATTTCATTTCAGTTCAAACAGATGAGCCTGGCCTCTCAACAGCTTGGCACAACAACCCGAAGAACCCTCAAGGAGTATGCTGTAGGAAGGGCCAGCTACCATTCTGGTCATTTGAGACTGGTGGGATCTGAGGTGACTATTATGTGTTGATCAAGAGGACAAAAACATGGTGCTTTGGGAACACTGAGAAGGCTGGAGAGGCAAGGATAGAGGTGGAAGGCGATGGGAGATGAGACGGGCTATTGGTTGCGTTCAGTACATGTTTGTTAGGCATCCCATGCCATGCAATACTGGAAATCACTATGGAGACACCCCTGGACAAGACAGACTTAGCCTTACCATATCTGAGAGGGAGACTTGGAAACAGAGAGTACATCATGCTGTCTTAGAGAATCATGGCAGGTATGACAACAGAGAAATCTAGAACTTGAAGGATGGAAAGGATTAGAAAGACAAGCATCTGATGGGGACAGAACTTGGAGAGGCCCATCACAGAGCACGTGCAACAGGAGAAGGGGATGAGCATTCCAAGCACATGGATGTGAGTCATGGAAGAAGACCAGCCAGTCTCAGGTCACAGTGCCTGACCTTCCTGAAGATGAGTACTGCAAGGCGCACAGTATCGGGGTGAACCATGCAAAACTGCCATTTCTCTAGGTCCAAAATGGGCATATGGCAGTGATTTCACATGGTTCAATTTAGTACACATTCTCTTATAAATTCATTTCTTTTCCTTAAAAAAAAAAAAAAACCACAATGGTATCAGCAAGTATGAGGGGGTGGTGATGGGTAATATTCAAGGACATGCAGAGGTCACGTGGAGGAGTACTGTGAACTGTATCCTTAGGATGATGGACAGACAGCCTTCTGTGATGACCAGATTGGTGTCTAAAGATACTCCTTCAAGGCCACATGGCAAATTAAATGAAAGGGCAACACTGGAAACAGGAGCAGATGCAGCTATCGTGGTCATTCAGTGAGAGAAGACAGGTCCATGCTCACAGGGTGAAAGTAGGCAGGCTTGTGAGATATCAAAGAGGCAGAATGGACAGGACCTGGGACCTGAGTGGGAAAGGAGGGAAGAGGAAGCAGCATGAATCCTTGGTTCCCATTCTGTTAGCCAGGTGGGGGGTGGGCTGGGTACTGGGCTGGTACACAGGAGGAAGGGCCAGTGTGGAAAGTAAGAGGGCGAACCTTGGGTGTGAGTGTTTCATCAATTTTGAAGATAAGGATAACGAAGAGCAGATGAAGTAGGAGGTAAAAGGAGCTCACATTTGCTGACTGCTAACCATGGTAGTGCTTGACATACAGTGTTTAATTAAATCTGCACACTGGCCCCAGAAGATAGCTTCTTTTACTCCAATTTTATAACAACAGAAAGTGAAAGTGAGTCTTTCCCTGAAGTTGGGTTGTTTATGAATGATAGAGTGGCAAATGAAACAGGCATCTAGCAATAGTCATGTCTCATGGCTACAATATGCGGCTGAGTAAACTAATGTAACTGGGAATGTATCTGGTGCTTATGGGTAAATAAAAATAGTAGCCACAGTGAAGATCAAGAGGCACACGGCTGAAACCTGCCTTAGAATCCCTAGGACAGGAGAAAGCCAGACATAGATGTGCAGATGCTCAGCTACCTCAAAAGTCTGCCCTCCCTAGCCCCCAGCACCAAAGCTCTCCTCCTGTCTGTGGGCGAAGGAGCTGGAGAATGATCAGCGCAGTACTAGGGCTTGCTCCCCTAGCACTAGAATAAATCCCCTGGCTCAGGATAAATATCTTGCTTATCCTGAAGAGTAGGGTTCAGTGAGCTGTTCCTCTCAACATGTCCTAAGGGAAAGGCAGTATTTTTAGCCAATGGCATTATCCTAGCAGAGAAAGGTTTAAGGCATAACCTATCTAAAGAGTTGCTTAACAATCTCCAAAGTAGTAGCAAAATGCTCTCCATAAAACTAAATGGCTCCCTGGGAAGAACGTGCATATTACATTCTGGTACTTGTTCCTTTAATTAGGAACACATTCTGGTGACTGGGATTTATTTTCATAAATACACATCCACAAAAACTAGAAACATCTTGACATGCTGCAGCATCTTTAACATTTCTCAAATCTAAATTCCTAATTGGGTTACAAAAAAAAACAAAAAAAAACACCAGGAATTTTCACGCCGGTTTTGATTCAGGATTCAAAACAGAACCTAAGATGTGCATTTCTATATTGTTTCAAACCATGAACATACTGCTTCAGAATCCTTAGTAAGAACCCCTTCAGACAATAAAAAGAGAAAAACATACCAGCTATGAATTTTTGATTTAATATACTAAGGAAGATTCTTCTTCTTACCGAACATGAAAACTATCCTATAATCTCCCCTGAACACTTTTATGTTTTAAGTTTTATTTAAGTTACACAAGTTGCATGTATTTCATATACACATATTTAGGAACATAGTGATACTTCCCACCCTACCCTCCCTCCAACCCATAGTCCAGCATTTCTTCCTCCTTCCTCTCCCATTCCCACTCTTAATTTTTACAAAGATCTACTTTCAGTTTATTTAATGATCATAAAGTTAACCCTACACTAAGTAGGAGTTCAACATATAGTGTGAAGAAAAAAAAAAAACTGTTGCTCAACAAAAGAGACAAGGGCTGTGAAAAATCTCAAAATGTCCATTTCACTCCAATATATTACATTTAGGTACTCTACAAGTTACCTCAGGTTAGAGAAAACATATGGTATCTGTCTTTTTCCCCCCAACCACTTTTAAACATCTTCACCTATTTTCTTTTTAATAGGAATCTGCAAGTGGGAAATGCTTGTTTGATACCTGCTCCTTCACTATCAGGATTCAGAGGACATTTTATGTTTTTCTTTGTTAATTTATTATAAAAATTGACTACTCATTTTGATTGCTTTGACTAAATTCTATTACAATAAAGAATCTAAATATGCCATGAAGTCTGTAAAATAGAAATTACTCTTACCTACCTGCCTAGTTTATCCTCAAGGACTGCCATGTATTTCACAGTACTTTCCTTCACACCTGCTTCTGCAAAAATAAAAAAGAAAGAAATAAAAAGTGATTGCAATCGCAGTCAAAACTGAGCAAACCTGGGGTCCATATTGTTATGCAGTGAGCTTAGCTGTCACCTGTGATGCTGGCATCCCCTATTAGAGTGCTGGTTGGAGTCCCAGCTACTCGGCTTTGAATTCAGCTCCCTGCTAATGCACCTGGGAAAGCTGTGGAAGATGGCCCCAGGGCTCCCTGCCATCCACATGGGAGACCTAGACAGAGATCTGGGCTTGTGGCTTTGGTCTGGTCCAGCCCTGGTCTTTAAGGCTATTGGGGAGTGAATTGGCAGATGGAAGACATCTCTCTCTCTCTCTCTCTCTCTCTCTCTCTCTCTCCCTTTCTCTGAGTGTGTGTATCTTCCTTTGTCACTTTGTCTTTAAATAAATAAAAAATAAGTCTAAAAAATTTAACAAAACTCAAAGCTATTCAACTGAAAGCTAAAAGTGAAAGGATCATGGTGAAGCCTCTAATAATAATAATATCCTATAATAACTGGAGTTATTACAATAATGGAGTCTGGAGTCATCTGTGGGGTAGGTTTGAAGGCTCCAGGGTCTCTGCAGAAGTGTCAGAGGTTGGGGATAACCAAACTATGCCACCCTTGCTTGAGTCTGTCAAAGGTGGCTCATCAGCACTCTCTCACTGGATCACATGTGCTCTTGCCTCTCACTTCCCACTTGGTAGCCTAGAGCTGGGTTGTGGGATATGGGGAAATAGAACCTGAAATTGGAATAATCCCATCCCATGGTTAAATGAGAGGAACCTTACCAGGGGCAGCAGAGGACTGTAGACCATTTCAGTGAGAAACAAGCATGAACATGCCATGGTATAAGTAGGCAAAAATCAACTGCTCAGCCTCCAGTGAGTAATGAGAGCAGGTACTACTCAAGCTAAAGCCGTGCTTCCTAATCATCAAATGTTTTAGGAAGGGGTGGATGGTATGGTTCAACAAGTCGAAGGGGTACCTGAGAGATGTGACACACTTCGGGGAAGTTCTGATACGCTCTGTTTCCTCATTTGAGGAAAGACAATGTCTTCCACTCGAGGTGGCAAGGTGCTGAGATGTATGTAAGACCCAGCAGCAGCTGAGGGATTCCCTAAGATGGTGGCTGAATTACCGATGCTCCTTCCATTTCTATTGCTGTTAATGCTACTGCTATTATGGGCTCTGTCATCATTTGTAACTCAACCTTTACTGTCAAAGATAACCGATGCCAAAAGGCTCACTAGTACTCTTTAGATGGGGACTGTGCCAAAACAAAGGCCACTGTCCAGATTCGTGTTCCTGGATTCTTACCCCGAGCTTCTCAGGATCCTATTTTGTTCAGGTGTTGGGGAGTGTCATACATTTGTAAATAAAAAAAAAACTGAAATTACTCATAATGAAGCTAAATATTTGGATGAAAATGTAAAAAATTAAACACTTAATTAATTCATAAAAGGTAAAAATAGAAATTTATATAATGAAAAGAATTGTTAACTTAGTCTTTCCTCTCAGTGACTACTGCTGGCCTAACCTACAAACTCAGTTGTACCATTTATGTCGCTCCCCCTCTTCGTGGAGGAACGACACAGGACCCTGTGCTGTTCTTTTGTCTGCTCGGCCCTCCCCGGGTTTGCTGCTGGTTCTTCCCGGGTTGGCTGCTGGTCCTTCCCAGGTTGGCTACCATCCCTTCCACCTCCGTGGAAGGGCGGTTCCCCCTGCCACATTCCCCACTTCCGCGGGGGAGCGGCACACCGCCGGCCGGCTCTCTCGGGGGCTGCACAGGTGTTCCCCTTAGATGTTCCTGGTGCATGCCGTCTCTCTCCTCCTTTATAGTCCTCCTCTGCCAATCCCAATTCGGCTGCCCACACGCCGAGTACGCTGCTCTCCTCCAATCAGGAGCAGGATCAGCTCCTGGAGGTCATCACTCAAGTTGGCAAGAGGCAGCTGCGTAGAAGCTGCTTTCTCCTCTCCCAGTGCCATATTGTGGGAGAGCAGATGCATAGAATAAGTCTTAATTCCAGTAACTTAGTCTAGTCCGAGTTGCTCCCCACAATTTATTTTTCCTATAAACTACTTTTTAAAAATAACTAAAGCACCTACTATGTGTGTGTATTACCCTAACATGGGGATTTAGTTGTTGTCATGTGGGTCTAGGAAGCAGAGATCTGGAGTAAACATACAAAGTTCAGAATTCCCCAGCCAGAAATGCTCTTCTCTTTTCACATCCTATTCCCACACAGTGTTCTAAGCATTTGGGCTAAACCAGTGTACAGAAGAGATAAAGATCCCTGCCTCCAGGAGGTGTACATTCTGGCAGGGGAGACAATAAAGAATAACAAACAAGGTGGCACAGGCCATTAGAAGGTGGTAAGTACTGTAGGAAGAATAATTTAAAAAAAATTTTTTTAAAAAATGTAGATGGTCAGAGAAGGCATCACTGGGAAGGTGGCACTTGAGTAAAAGTTTTCAGAGGGCAGCGGGACGGAGTCAGCAAACTCCCCGGGCAGAGCAGACCTGGGAGAAAGAGCAGCCAGTCTGAAGGGCCTCATGCAGAACACCTGAGCGCCCCAGGAGACTGGGACTGGAACAAGGACTCCATGGGAGAAGAGATGAGGGCAGAGCCACAGCCTAGGTCCAATCATGTGGGCCACTATGACAGCATGTACTCTAAAACATGGCCACAGCAGTATTGCTGGTCCCACCACTCACCCTGGACATTGTCAAGCTCCATCAAGAGGTGAAGTCTGTTTCTATTCCCTGGTATCTGGACAGACTGACTACGCCACCCCCTGAGTATGATGGAAGGGATCCTGTATAACTTCAAGGCTACAGTCTACTTCTGCCTGGCTCTTTCCCCTGAGGACCCAGCTTCCATGTTGGGAGGAAGCCCAATCCACCTGTAGAGGCCATGCAGGTGTGAAGGTCAGCCTATGGTTTATATATCAACCTGCAGACACATGAGTGAGCAGATTTTCAGATGAATTGCCACCAGAGAACAGAGACACGCCATCCCCATCACACTCTGAATTCCTGACCCACATAACTCACTCACATAATGAATGGTGGTGTTAAGACATCTAGGTTGGGGATGATTTGGTATGTAGTTGTAGTGCCTGGAAAGCCACTGTGGGGATTTTAAATGTTTTGAAACACTGCAGAATAATGGAATAGCATCGACTTATGGCAAGTATGTTGAGAACAGACTATAGGAGAATGATATGGAAGCAGAACGACAAGACATTGAGATCATCCAGGAAAAGGAGATGGGGATGAGGGCTGAAGATGTCCCCCTCACCCACAGAAGGCCATGCTAACACTCCTGCCACAAAAGACACATTAGCAAAGGAAAGACATGCCAAATTTATTTAACAAAAGTTGCATGTGACATGGGAGTCTTCCACAATGAAAAAACACCCAGGGTCAGACATTTGGCCTAGAGGTTAAAACGTGATTTGGGATGTCTGCATCCCCTATCAGAATGTTTGTGTTTGCATCCTGGCTCTGCTCCTGACTCCAGTTTCCTGCTAATATGGACCCTGGGAGGGAGTGGTGATGGTTCAAGCAGTTGGATCCCTGCCACCTACATGGGAGACCCAAGTTGAGTTCCCAGCTCCCAACTTCTGCTTGGCCCATTCCTGGTAATTGTAGACATTTGGGAAGTGAACCAGCAGATGGGAGACCTCTGTCTATCTCTCAGACTCCCAACTAAAACTAGAAGGAAGGGAGGGAGGGAGGGAGGGAGGAGAGAAGCGGAGAGGGGAGAGGGGGGAAGAAGGAGAAATGTTTCCTAAAAGAAGGGAAGACCCAAAATCTTAAAGAAAACTGTATTTTTATGCTTAGGTTTGATAAAGAATGGATAGCTGTGTAAAAATGTTATGGGACAAAAGAGGGGTATGTCTTAACAAAAGTAAAGTGGAGGAAACCCAGCACGCCCTGTCTGTGAGAGTCTCCTTATATCCTCTGATTATCACTCCTTACCTCTGGAACACCGGTCATATAAGGGGCTTATGACCTACTTTCAGAGGAGGTAGATCAGAGAATTCTTTTATGCCCAGTTTTCACACCAAGAGGCAGGAAAAGGTCAGAGAGTAACCTTTCATTTTCTGCGGTGTTGTTGGTTTCTAAGGTGCCATATTCAGATGCAACATGTTCCGAGTCCCAAGGGAACTTAGATCAGAGAGTTGGCAGGAGCTGGTTATAAGTGGGCAGATTTTAGAAATACTTTAAAGGTAAAGACAATATAAAGACAATAGCATTTCCTGGTGGCTTGAATGTTAGGTGTGACAAAAAGAAAAGAGTCAAGAATGATTGCAGGTTTTTGCTCTAAGCCTTTGGAAAAAAAATAAGAGTTGTCATTAACTGGCATGGGAAGGACTCCTGGTGAAAGCAGGCTGAGGAGACAACAAGAGTTCAGGCTTGGATTCATTAAATTTGAGAAACTTAGGGAGTGCACTTGGTGCAATGGTTAACATGTCACTGGTGATGCCTGCATGCCACGTCCGAGTGCCTGGATTTGATTTCCAGCTCCACTTAAGTTCAACCCAAAACCTTTAAAAAAGGTCCAGGACTGTAGGCAGAGAGTTTAAACTTCCTAAATAATATGCCCACAGATACACTGATGAAAACACAGCTCCTCTATGTCCCTTCTTCTTCCTTCCTTTCCCTGTCCTCTTAGGAGTAATACAGCAGGGACCTATGAGAAATGTTGTAGTTCCAAGAACTAAGGCAGGTGCTACAATAAATGCAGAATGCTAAAGGAAACAAAGACCTGGACTCCAGGCCTCCTACTGGAGGAAGACAAGAACATAACCATTTCTGTTTGCTAAGGGAAACCAAAGTTCAAATTCAGGCCAAACAACCAGAAATGGTTCAGATAATTAAAGAGTCTTATGAACCAATGGAACAAAAACTTATTAATAAACAAATGCAGTAAATCTGTTAAAACATTTACAAAGTATGTGGTACAAACACAAATCAATGCTGCAGGAAT